AAAAATGCTACTCAAGTACCGAGTAACTGATCAAAACATAAAGTTAAGTGGAAATAGATTTCTTTCAATGTAAAGCTTATAAAATTTTAACAAACATTGTAGGCGTGAATTTTTTGGTGTTTTTCATTCAGTTGCTCGCAGTGGGTAGAGTATCCAGAAATATTACTCACGTAAGAGTAGCGATACTTCAAAACGCACACACACAAAAAAAACTCCTAAAAGTACCTTCTATTCAAGTAAACCTAACTAGTTCCGCAAACGGTCACCTTTCTCTTAAAGACGCGATGTAAAGAAAGCAATGACATTGTCTGGATGGGTGTGACAAGAAATCACAGATATGAGCGCTTTAATGTAGAACCAGGGAGGGGATAAACAGGCCAGAGCGCTCCTCGGGCTCCTAGGTGCCTTTGACTGCCCCTGACTTTCATCTGGGCTCATCTGGCGGCCGCGGCTCCGCCTGGCATGAGCCTGACCACCAGTTGCGGTCTGAGGGAGAGGCAGCTCCTCTGTGCTATTTGCAGCCCTGTCTGTCCAAAGGAATCTGGTGCGCTGACTATCACTCAGCGGCCGCGTGTGTTTTTTTTTTTTTATCACTAATTCTACCACAGGGATGCGGTTGTCCATATGACCACTGCGGAGGCTGCTGCCCCGAGGCGAGCTGACACTGTCTGTGTAGAAGGACCAGACGTTGATGTAGGGGCTGCTCAAATGCTGCTTGAATATCAAGACACGCGTGCGCGCGGCGGCGCGGGCGCGCGCGCACACACAAACGTACAAAGCAGTGCCCGGCTAGTTACTGATGTTCCTTTCAGCCATCATAAGGGTGACCCTCAAGGTTTTTTTTTTTTTTTTTCCTGTCTTCATGCCAACCCTGTGTCAGTTCCTGGCTGGTCTGTCCAACAGTGATGGAGACACTTTTACTGGCTGCGGTTGGGGCCTTTGGCCGCGGGGTTGCTGAGGCTCTGTGAGATGGTGGGGGCTGCTTGGCCTGTCAACTGGTTGTGACTAGAGCCCGTCTGCACGCAGATCCGATCTGGACAGCTCTCTCTCTTTCTCTGCGGCTAGTGGCATCGTCCTGCAGAAAGGCACACGGTGTAGAGCTGCCACTCTGCTCCAGTGCAGCATATGCTCCGGCTGAGGGTCAGAGATGTTCAGTCCAAAATGCCTGAAATAAAAACCTCATATGTCTGCCTGACAGTTGTAGTGCAGCAGCAGATCTGCAGTGAGGAGGGCAAGTGAATCTGGAGTGTTTGCTCATATGTTCACATTTGTTTTACCCCCAAAAGCCAATATTGATATTCAATAGATTAGAATATGTGATTCAACTACCTTTGAAAATAACGACCTTTATTTAATTAGGCATCAAACATACATTTCTGCAGTAAAACATTTTTATTGATCTGAAGTAATATTCTAATCTTTGTCAGATTTTCATTAACAGTAAGCAGAAAATAATCATAATTATACAGAAGAGGACTAGGACCACTGGAAAAAAAATAAAACAGTTCTGACTTTAATCTCAGAATTCTGAGATTAAAGTCAGAATTCTGAGATTAAAGTCAGAATTCTGAGATTAAAGTCAGATTTTTTTCCCAGTGGCCCTAATCCTCTACAGTATAATTAACACAAATGAAGGCTTGAAAACATCTACATGACGTGTTTCATTTAGTTACTGAAATAAATGAACTTTTCAATAATATTCTAATTTATTGAATGAGTCTGTAGCTGCATTGCTGGGAAAATAATTTGTTCCTTACAATTTTTTTGTGTCTTCGTCACACTACCTGAAGCAAATTTAATATTATATATAGCTTGAATAAAAACAAAATATAGTTAAGGGGGGGAATCCAAGCCTACCTTGTCCTCTATGAAATTATAAATGCCCAAATTTGTAAATCATGAATTAACTGGGATTTGCTACATTTTTAGGTTCAATTTTACTGTCTATGCAATAGAATACAGGAATTACTTAAATAAAATATATCTGACAACATGAAGTAGGCTAAAGGATCTCACAAAGAAACACAGACTAACATATTGCAAAAGGTAACAAAGACGTTTCTAAATTTTTGGGTCTCCAGTTAACCACAGTGAGAGTCATTATCCACAATATATCCAGTATATTCATGTCAGGCCTGCATGATGGAGCAGCTGTTAGCGTTGTTGCCCTGCAGGAAGAAAGGAGGTCCTGGTTCGAAACCTGCACAGGCCTTTCCACATGGAGTTTGCATGTTCTCCCTCCACGCAGTGGGTCTCTTTGGGTACTCCAGCTTTGTGACTGTGTTGCTCTGTGATGGACTGGTGACCGGTCCAGGCTGGACACTGCCTCTTGTCCAATGACCACCTGCAACCAGGATAGGAAATGGGAAATTATAAATGTTTTTCAGCATTTATTTTGGAATTTGCAGTACACTTACATTAGGCATAGGGTTAGGTTTTAAATTGATATGTTGCAATTCAGTATAACGTCGCATAAAACTTGAAATCAAACACAGTTAAATAGTTTTAACTGAAGATTGAAAATCTATTTTATTAGATGAAAGCAAAGAAGATACTTTAATACTGTTTTTATGCTTGTTATAATGCTGGAAACATAAAAAATGTTTGCCTGGTCATTGTTTTCCCAGGAAATTCAGCTCAATTTGAATCTCTTCACTGTTCAGTCTGTGGTTTCTCCCATTGAATTGGATTTCTATGGTAGAATTTCAACTGACCCAATCAGAGAACAGAGGGACTAGTTGTGAAAGATGACATCGATTGCTGTTTTAAAATCCTAGTCTGCCTGTAGTTTTAGTAATTGCAGCAGAGGAAGTGAAGGAAACCATTCAGTCCACGCTTCTAAATATCGAACTAACATTGACAGCTGCCTCATTTGGTTCTACACTTCTCTCTTTGCAGTGTTTGATGATTGTTTACAGCTTCCGGTAAGCTTCATGGAGCTGGTGCATTATGTCAGGACCAAATAGCCATTGAGTGAAATTTAAAACTTAAACAAGTCCATGCCTGTAACAATCATTTCACAATAGCACAGGGTCCAGACTACCTGTACAAAGCGAAGCCTAAAACAAGGAACTGATTTTTACCAGATTAAAACAAATGATAAAAATGCTCATAAAAAAAGCCTGAAGCCTGTGATAACCGTGAACTGATAAGATTCAACAGAATCTCCCGCTGTTGTGTCGCAGTCACCAACTGCTTAGTTAGAGCATAATGGGGTGTGTGTGGTGTGTGTGTGTGTAGGGGGGAGCTGGGGTGGGACTCAAACCTGGATTGGAAGACGCGGAGGGGATGAGGGCAGACATGAAAGTTGGCCTATTTCATGGTCAGGCTGCGGGACCGCCGAGGTCCTGAATGGCAATGCATCTACTTTAATGTGACAGACAAGTCCCGAGGCAAAAAACCCCACGGAGCTGCAGCAGGCAAGCGGGCCCCAGGTAGGGCTGCAGTTGATGAGTGTGACACCTTCACCGTCCCGCCGCAGCCGCCGCACGCTCCGCTGCCTCTGCTTAGAGGAGCACCAACAAACCCGCCCCAAACAAACCCGCCGCAGAACCCGTCCTGCCCAGCCAGTCATGTTGGGATCACTAGTCTGCTTGTATAGCCGCTCGACGGGCTTTTGCTCCGATCACTGTAAAGCGCCAGCCAGCCTTCGGGGAACCCACCTGCCGTGGACGCGGCGGCAGACACATCCTCTCATCACGACGCTGTTTGCCCAATCAGGCGGAGACGGGCGAGTGTGTGTGGCATCTTCAGAGCAGCAGAGAGAGACAGAGGAGCCCGGAGGCGCCGCGCTGCCTTCCCACATGCACTCACAAATCAAGCGGCGCCGCTTTCCCCGACGCCTCCTGCACGCACAGGTGGAGCTGCGTGAGCACTTGACCTCTCCATCTACCATTACTGTGGGCTACAAAGTGCTGCGTTAAGCGCAACCTTTCTTCTATATTGGCCTATTAGGAGCCACAGGGCGCTCTGATGGAGGGAGCATCCCTATGCATGTGTGCGTCTCAGCACGCTGGCGAACATGAGCTGATCTATTGCAGTCCTGGGATGAGAAGGCCCAGGAGTTCATTAGGGCTGCAGCTCTGGAGAGCTGCCGCGGGGAGCTGCGCTGTAGCCAAGTGTTGCCAGGAGGCTGAGCTGCGCGTCCGGTGGGGAGAGGAGGGGAGGGAGGGCTACTGCTGATGTCCATGGCATGTTTGCTAACAGCCTGATTCCATCAAGTGGTGCAACAGCAGCGCAGCCAAGTGCGAGGGCTGACCCTCCCCCCCCCCTATTTCCCCCCACCTTCCTATTTTTAACAACACAGCGCATCAGTCAAAGGTAGACAGTTCAGTCAAGCACTTGTGGAGTGCAAATGATGCTAATAATCATGCATGTTTGTATATTTGGGAGCAACAAAAGATAACGAGAGATGCGAAAGCAAAAGAGCTCCGTCTGACTATTTGCTGTTACGTTCGCTCATATGCCCTTTGTCTTGAGGGCGAAGATCTAAAATGCACTCTCAGTTTTCATCTCCATACTCCCACAACCCTTGTAAATGCATCTGAGGAGGGGAATACCGCAAAAATCTTAAATACTCTTAAACAGACATGAAAAAAAAAAACGAAGCTCGGGGCGTTCTGGTGGACATTGGAGGGAAAAAAAGAGAAAAATATGCAGAAAACAAACCACGCTAAGAGAAAACAAAGTTATAAAAGACTATTTTACATTAAGGTCTAGTGAACAAATCCTTTCTCCAAATCCTCCATTTGTGACAATGAAAACAATCCTGAGAGTAGTTGTGATTCATAAGAGGTAGGTATTGCACAGACACCACCAATATTTCATCATTTATTACACAGCAAAAAAAAAAAAAATGACTCACACGGAGGCAAAATAACGACAGGCAGGAGACGAGCCAGGAGAGCCGGGCTCATTCCAAACAGCATTTAGCATTTTACCTCTGCCTAGTTACAGCTCTATACATAAAACAGGGAGTTGAAGCGTTTCCTCATCGCAGGGTCCTTCACGTTGACCTGGCCATATGGACACTGTGAGAGAAAATGACTAAATCAAATGATGCATGTAGAGCAGCTCTTTAGTCACACTAAGAATGCATGAAAATACGGCACATGAAACAAATTAAAAACACAATGCGAAGGGACAGAATGAGACACATCAGGACAGAACAGGGCGATGCAAGACGGGACAGGACGAGAAGGGAGGAGTGGTGTGGCGAGACGAAGCAGGCTGGGATTGAAACAGCCAGAATCGGACTCAGCAGAGCAAAGCAAGGTGCCACTTCACCAGTCTATTCTAGGACGAGTAATTCTGCGCATAATGTGGTAAAACAATTGAGACTAAAACCAGAGGTCATTTCATTTCACCACTTTGCAAAGTGTCGTTTTGTAAGGGAACTGAAAAAAAGCAGAATTATGACTTTAATCCAGATGGGAGCAAACAGGGTCAATAACAGAGATGAGCAGTGCAGGTGGAAAATATCTTTCTGGAAGAGAATGTCGAATTTAACAGATTTTTTTTTTTTTTTACGTTGTCAAGGCGTTCCCCTTTGGGAGAAGATTAAGTCTAAAAACGTTTGCCAAAAATAGCTTGAGCTCAGTCAGATTGGTTAGACAGTCTTTTTAAAAGTCTTGACTTTGACTGGACCATTTTAACAAATGCTTAATATGCTTTGATCCAAATCATTACATCATAGCTTTAATAGTTTTTTGGGGTTGTTCTGCTGCCTCTGCTTCAGTCTCAGGACTTTTCTAGCACCAAAATTCCCAAACACAACAGACTGAAGGCTGTTTTTCTTTGGCATTAGACAATTAACCGTCTTTTATCACTCTGGTTTTTCCAGTTTAGCATTTTTCAAGTCAGAAAATAGGAAAACTGTTGCCTGAACCATTTTAATGATTTCATTTTTGCTCTAAATAGATTCATCAGTTAATTTCTCATACACATTTCTATTTTTGTATGTGATAATTATTTTACAATTATGGATCAACATATTTTGTGCTTTTAATGTGATTCACTTTTCTCTCTTGCTTTACATGTATGAAGGCACCACACAAATAAACTTGCGTTAAAAGACTTGTTTTGTTTTAAAGGCTCAGTAAAAGCAACTTTTACCTCTCCTAATTTTTCCCTGTCCCAAACTTTCACCTTCCCAAACAATCAGCTTTTATTGACTCCAGACATGTAGAGATTTGAAACTTTAGATAACTCTCAGCTTAAATATAAAAGTACACCTCCATAACTTAGAAAATGTTTTCAAAGAGTGAGTCATCCAAGCATACTGAAGGAAAGTTGAGTGCAAGAAAAAAATGCTTCTGAAAAAACAACCTTGAGTCAGGCAAGTTTGCTGGCCAGTCAAGAACAATGACACTGGTGTCGTTAAACCAGGTTTTGCTTTGCCTGTGCAGACAGGTGCCAACTCCTGCTGGAAAATGCAATGAGCATTTCCATAAAACATGTTAGCAGAACGAAGTTTTAAGGGCTCTTCGGGTTCCTGGTAGACTCTAGGGTCTTGATTTGCAAATTAAATGCATAACTTTGAGAACTTTAAGCCATTAAGCAGCAGTCCACTCCTTTTCCCATATCTCAGGTAAAAACACTCCTGAATTTGACTCTGGTTCTGGATTGACCTTTGAACTAAATCACAGAAATAAATAACATTTCTGATGATATTCCCATTTGTTTAGACGCACCTGTAGATGCATCAATAGAACACACTGCCATACTTTTTACTATTAATTTTCATTACCAATTGCATGCTTTCTTTCATCCGTAATGTTACCAGTAAACGAAAAAGTACAGCAGACTAAAAAGAGTAGAAACACAATGGGGGAAAAAAAACACAACAGAGCAAAACAGCTGAGGCTGGATAAAGGAGACAAAATGTGCAGAAGAACACTAGCGATCCAAAGGACGACACAACCTGGTGACAACAACAACAAAAAAAAGAGAAGAAGACAAAAGAGCTCACGTGTCTGCAGGCGCTGCCGCAGCATTTCCCTCTCTGAAGGTGGGCATACTCTGTGAACACCTTATACCCACTGGAAGGGTCCACATACATCTGCTTCTTTGCCTGAACATAATGAAGATATTATAATTTAGCTAGAAAATTCCTGAAGAAATTTAACCGGGGCCTGCCAAAGTGTGCCCGTCGGTTCGGACCCAGCGTTCTGATGCTAAAAATAGTCATCAATGCTAAGCTTAGCTAAATTGTAGTCAATAACCTGTGGAGAGGCAGATGCATGTTGACTAAGCTGTACTTGTACCATTCAGTATGTTAAAATCAATGCATAACCTAAAATTAGCCAAAATGCTAATGTTAGTGTGAAGGCTCTCAGTAGCATGTGGGGCATCACTAGCATGTTGTCTGTCATTGACTTACTCCATTTAGTATACTAAACATCGCTAATAAGTAAGAAAATTAGCTAATAGGTTATTTTAGGTAAAAGGCTAATGCTAAGTCACCGTAAACTGTAAGCCCTAGGGACATTTTGAAAACATTTTGCCGGAGCAGACACTCATCAATATCATGACCGACTTCCATACCCATAGAGCAATTTTTGCAGCCAGGAGAGCGATTTCAAAATTATTTTGGGGTCAAAAATCTACTCATTTTCTCACTCTAAAAAAGCGGCATTTGGTGTCAGTTACACTCTAAGGTTCGGCAGTTGGAAATTTTGCTCGTTTTTAACTTTTTACGTCGCCATTTTTACACGAAACCCCAATAAAAATAATAGGCCGGATGCCGAGATCGAGCCGCACGTTTTGATACCTTTTTTGTGGCGGTATGAGCCGCATTAACGGTGATGGAAGAATAATAAATAAATAAAGAGACATTCTATTAGGTGTACAACAATAGGTGCCTGCTTCACAAGGCAGTCACTCTTCCCCATGTAATGCTATGAGCAGGCCCCAATTAGCATGACAAACAAGCATGCCGGCATGTGACCCCTGCATACATAACTATATACAGTACATTTAATTACACAAAGGTAAGCTCGGTAAGTAAGCAGCCTGAACGCACTGATCCCGGATATGGGTGTAAACACACCAACAGATTGGCTCAGGTGAAGGTAAAAAGGGAAAAGCTGACCTCTGTGCATACAAACAGATGTAAAACAGGTTAATTCTCGTGATGTTGGTGATTAATTTGTGCTATCCTTTTGTGTGCCTCCAAAGGCGAGCGATTAATCAACCGCGCTACCTCTTCAATGCACACTTTATAGACAGTTTATTTAGACTAATCGTTCCACGCAAACACCTTTTGTAGGCGAAACACACTGAACTTCTCTTGCCATGTTTTGGGAAGTTAGAAAATGCCATCTCTCAGTCTGTTTCAAACTGAGAGCGCACTAGTTGGTGAGCTTTGACAGCTCACAAAAGCAAAAAAAGCCTGGGGCCTTTCGGTGACACGGCCTGTCATTTCGCATGGCGGTGCAGGGCCGCATAGTGAAGCTGGCATTGCCGGGCCCCCCCACGGTATTGTGCTTTTCCCACCCAGGCCCTACCACTCTCCTCAGGTCGCGGCCAACTTGCCTCAACTTCATCCTCACTCCGAAGCGCAATATTTACAACAGATAAGCCTAAAGGCACGTAGACGACACCTTTTCACCACTGTCATCGAGGCAGAGCGCCGCGCCTCTGTTTGATGGAGGAGCAAGTCAGAGCTGGTGAATATGAGATGTCTGACAAAAACGATTACCGCTGCCGGGTGGGTTAAAAACGTAATACTGCAGATAATAAATCAAACCAGTCACATTGGTTTTGAGCTTAGTGGGAAAATGCTAACTGTTAAAGTAAAGTTTTAGAAATACAGACCTTGTGGATACATGGTTTTCAATCGTTTTTTACAACTAGAATCTAAAATGTGTGACCTGTGTATATATTTAGTTCTAAAATCCTTACATTGGAGAATAGGTTTTAAAATATTTACGTTAGCTTGTAAATCACATCCCTACAACTAGAACTTGGCAAAATGACCAACATGACAAGGGAAGAAAAGAAAATGAAAATGTGCATAAGTCATGAATGAAAAAATCGTGGCAATTTTCAGCAACAGTATTCCAATTTTTTTTTTTTTTTTTTTGATTCCATGCAGGTTCAGTTAAACATTTAGTTTCCACACGATCCCCATGATGCTCTGGTCTCTGACCCACAGACTTCACCTAAGCCGTTCTGGACATTCTCCACCAGGTCCAACTGTTTTACAAAAAAATGAAACTGTTGAGACAGACTGTTTATCAGAATTATTTCATGATGCCTCTTTATTTCTTGTATTTGGGCAGCATCAGGTTCTTCTAAAGGTCACATGACAGTCTGGTCATTTTATCCATTCATCGTCTAAACCTACTTGTCCTTGCAAGGTCGCGGGGGGAGTTCTGGTGCCTATCTCCAGCGGTCATTGGGCGAGAGGCAGAGTAATCCCAGACAGGTCATCGGTCCACCATAGGGTGAAACAGAGAACAAACACACAAATCTAAGAGCATCTAGAGAGACTAATTAACCTAACAGTTTTGTTTTTAGACTGCAGGAGGGAGCCAGAGTCACAGGGAGAACCTGCTAATTTCATGCAGAAAGACCCCAACCCAGGATTCAAACCAAGAACTTCTTGCTGCAAGGCGACTGTGCAGCCAACTGCACCATCAACCATCGTAATCAATTTTTCTATCAATTATTCGGACGACTTGACAACACTGATCAATTTATCAAATAAAAAATTTGGCACGTTCTGCAGATTTTTCATTTAACCACTTGCACCTTTTTATATATATATATCCTATTAGAAATACATTAAAAGATGCACACAAATAATTTAAATCTTTTTTTAAAAAAGATTTTTTTTTTTGTCTAAAATGTAATAACATAGCATTCCTTTAGTGTACGCTTGATCATTTGTAGAAAAATATGCATCTGCAGCTAAAGAAATACTTCTAACATCAGCATGTGAAAAGCTCGGCCCTTTCCAATGATTAAAAGTGTAAAGCTAATCTGATTATATGTTGCTTAATAGGATATCTTTTTTTTAAAGAATCTGAACCAGGTGAAGTTAAAACTATGCCACTTGAGGAGTTTTGGGTGGAACCTACTTATAGACCAGTGCTTCTCAATTCTGGTCCTCAGGGAACACTGCCCTACATGTTTTAGATGTTTCCCTTCTAACAGGTTCCTGCAGCACTTCATGGCTGCAGAGGAGGTCATGCAATCATTTGAATCAGGTATTCTGGAACGGAGACATCTAAAACATGCAGGGCAGAGGTCCCTGAGGACCAGAATTGAGAAACACTGTTATAGACAAATAAGTGGGGGGGAGGGGTATCTTAAATGCAAAAAGTACTTGTATTTTTTGGTAAAATTTTCACTTAATTACTGCTGTGTGTTCTTTCACTAAATGTCACTTTATTGAGTCTGTCTTCTCCAGTTAACGATTAACCTATGACGTAAATTTAACATGAGGTTAAAGGGTCCGTTTTTTGAGCTTATTGCACTTCCTTTTATATGGATCACCTGTGGTGGAACTACAGTAAAGCTATAATGAATAAACTGCAGGTAGCCCATCAGGATGCTTTTAGAATCTGCAAGTCAAATGTTCGTCATGAGCAACACCCCAACGTTTATGCCTTGCTGGGGAAATACAAGGATAAATTTATGTGCCGTTTGAAGGTGTCAAAAAACTTAAGAGTAAAGAGCTCTGTCAGCTGTGACACATAGAGACACATGATACACCTAAAGCTTTATTAAAAATATTTTTTATTTTATTTTAAAATGGTATGGACTACCTTTTGTATGGAAATAAATTAGATTCAAATTAGTTGAAGATTATTTAAATGATTGATTCATCGCGACTAGTCGGATTAATCGTGATGATGAATGGATGGATGGATGGATGGATGAATGGATGGATGGATGGATGGATGGATGGATGGATGGATGGAGCTTGGGATGCTTAGAAGTACCATTTATGGTGTGATTACGTTGTGATCATGTCATAATTCGGTATAAGTGACGGTGTAAACGCTAATTTCTCGTGTTAACTGGAGTTGTCCTGATGCTCCAACTGACAGTTTGGTTCGTGGTACCTCACACGCCTCCCGGTGGAGTCTGTGGATGGTCACTTCCTGCTCCGTCAGCCTCTGTGCAGCTGCAGCGCTCCTGTCTTCACTGGTCTGCAGGCTGCAGCTGCTTCTCCCTCGCTCCGAGCTCCTCTCCTCTGAAGGCTTCATCACTGACATCTTTACGAGTCGTTTATGAAGCTGGACACGGAGCTGAATCGACCTGCCGATGAACGCTCCGCCGGGGAGCTTTCTGTAAAACATGCTCGAGTAAAAACCCGGTTTCTGTCATTTAGAAACGCTGGAAACCGAGAGAACCCTGCGGACATTGTTTACATTAAACAAAGATTGTCTATGCAGCATGTTAACTTTCTCCCTACTCCTCCTAGTTTTCCCTGTACAGTCATGTGTTTTACTTCCTGGTCTGCCTCTTTTTACATTTGTCACATGTGGTAATTTTAACTGCCAGCCTGTACAGCGCCTCTGCTGTTTCAAAGCTGCTACAATGGCTCTAGTTCTAGTTTTGAATGAAAGAGAAGAAACCTACAGGTGGGTCTCAGTAAATCAGAATATCAGCGAAAATGTAACTTATTTCATTAATTTAAAAAATGACATTCATGTATTACCTTGATGCTTTACACACAGTAATATATCAAGTACGCAGTTATTTTAATGATTATGGCTTTCAGAATATCACAGAATTAAAATGTTATTAATTACCTGTAAAAAATATGCATATCTTCAGTGCAGAAATGTTATGTTAGCCACCAAATCTGAATCCTTCTGTCACAAAAGGTCATTGCTGAAAAGGTTGGTTGTTCACAGAATGTTATATCTGAGGACGGGGGGGAAGTTAGGACAATTCCAATGGCACTTGACCAACAGGGGGCCCCCCACAAAATAGTTTTTTGGGGTTTTTTTTTTCATAGAAATAGAAAAAATTGGGGGCCCTGTCAATTACAAAATTAAGCATATTCCGTTTTTAAAATTGTTTTTAGCCGTAAAAATTAAATGTTACCCCTCCTAGACTAAAAAGCACACATCCATGTTAGCTTTGAACCCCCCCCGCGCATCTGCATGAAATGGTTCGTTCCTGCTTGGCACGCTTGACCATGACGTGTGCTGCAGCAGTCAGTTCAAGACAAGAACCGCTGCGGCGGTAACTCTGATGCTAAGGAAAATTATAAAATCAGGTTTTCAAAAATACAGAGAGATAAAAAGACAAGAGTGTCAATTTGAAACCCAGTTTTTCTCCAAGTGAGGTGGGTAGACTGTGGGAGATTGTCAACCATGTAGCATAGTTAGCTTAGCTACAGACTTCTGTTTGCTTCCTTTTCACTAGCATTTAATGAATTAAGGGGGGGAAATATACCACATTTAACAACAGGTGAGTCATTTAGCAGCAGCTCTAACTCTGACACCAGCATAACCTTTAACCCCTGTGCCAGAGTAAAAGGTGAGCAACACAGTGTCCAATGACAAGCTAGTTAGCATCATTCCAGTGAGTCTATAGGGATTTCTCTGTGTCTTTGCTCTTTTTACAATTACACAACAAAAGCAATATTTTTATTACTGACAGAAATTCAGTCTTTATAAAATGATACTAAAAACAGTTCAGTTTTACCTTAACTTGCATTTAAATTACAAATATGTATTGCCATGTCCCTCCTGACCTGTCCTCTCCTAAGTGAAATTAAAGCTGCAGGATTTAACTTTTATAAAAAATATATTTTTTTACATATTTGTCATTTGCCATTATGTTGTGAAAGTTTGGCACAAGAGATAATCTCAATCTCATGTGGTTCATCCTTCCTCTCCCTCGCTCTGTGCTCTGCCTAGCTAGCATAGCTACCAATGATGGCAGATAAACAGTTTCCCAGTAACGATAAGTTGTTTCTCCACCATTAGCAGATTTAGCAGTGAGTGAATGAAGTTGATTAACAGCACTAAAACCCCCCTGGTTCTGATTGGTTGTTTTTGGTCGGAACGTTGCTTTACTTTAGCCAGCAATAGTAGTTCAGGGAGGAGGTGGAGGAGTTTGATCTTTTCACTGATTATCTGTCTCATAATAAACTGCTATGGCATCGTGACAGCTTCAACAAATATGGAGAAAACATATTTTTTTATTAAAGTTATATACTGCAGCTTGAATGAAATGCAACTACATAGCATTTTTGAGTAGTCTGGACTGCTTCATGTATATTTTGCATGTTGCCTATGACTGTTGCTTGTGGGGAGAGACCTTTCAGTAGGCTAAAACTAATTTTAAGAAATTAAGCAACCTATTTGCATACAACATGCGTACAGTTGCATGTAAAATTCATTAGCAGTAAATATTGTGCTAGTATCCAAAGAAAGCATGGCAGTTGCAAGTCTTTAACATTTGATGCTGTTTATGGGTCAAATAAAGTCAAGAAATTGTAACAGCAGGGGGGCTCCAATTTATTTTTTTGTCATGGGGCCCCAAGATTTCTGGCGGTGCCCCTGGGTAGAAAAATGTGCACATGTAATTACTTTGAGAAAATTGTGAAGCAAAACCATTTGGCGATGATTCACAAAGCTTGGACTGCAGCTGCTTCTCAGACAGACTTAACCAGGATGTGGACTGAATAATATATTTAAAGTATTTACTTTTGATGTTTATGGATTACAGCTGCAGAGTTGACACCAGTCCAGCAGTTTCTGACATCCTGAAAAGAAATATAAGCCATGAAATGACATTATTGAAGAAGCTGGCCATTTGCCAGCTTCTTCAAAAAATATTAAATAAAGCTGAATGGAAGGAAAAATATGTCTCTATTTGTAGCCAGTTTATATATACGCGAGTTAAATTTTCTAAAATGATTTACTGAAAAAAAAAACTTTTGATAATATAATTCCTTGAAATGCAACTTATAGTAAAATCCACCTTAAATATATTTGTATCAATACACGGTGATATGACACAGAAAAAAATGAGTAAGATAAAATATATTTTTTACATTTTCAGATAATTTTGTTTTAGAAATGCAATATTACACCTTTTTGAAAGATATGTTACATTCACACAGTTTTGTTATGTTTGTATGTCAAGTAGTTGGTACTTTTCAGAGATGTTCGAGGTATTTTTTAGGAGTTATTCCATCTTGTGCTATGAGCTCATTTCCTCTCATATGCTCGGAAGCACTACAATAATCTTTTAAAAAGGGTCTCATGTCTTTTCTAGGTTATGCTATGAACGGTATAGTTTCTAACAAAGAAGCAGCTTCTGTAAAAACTGCTGACAGTTTTCAGTGCACCTTTAACATTACCCTTTGAACATTTTGTCAATCCCACCACTCTGTCGGAGCAGGGAGGTTAACCTCGACTCCACAAAAAAGGTTCAGTGGCTTCGCTTTCCCGCAGCACACAGAGAAGAGGCATCTTCTCTCTGTAAAATATTAAAGCAATACAGCTACTTGGACTTGGCCCTGCAAGGTTGATGAGTGGACGCTAATGAGTCCTCCCAAGGTTACCCACCGCTGTAAGCCACTGCTGATTATCTATGTGCTCAGAACTATGGATAATGAAACCTGACAAGTGTCTTTTGACTGACATTGTGCGGTCAATTCACCCTCAAACAAATTACACGTCGCTGGTAAAGAGGAATTTGCATGCACATTATTCAGCGTGGTCATCATTAAAAAAAAAAAAAAAAAAAGATTTATTGGTTAGGCAGATAAATCTTAATCACTCCTTTGTGGAGTCTCTGCAGACCACATCAACATCATGTGATTCAAGGTAATAAACTGGAGGTTTATTACCTTCAAGAATAAAACTGTCTTTTTATTTGTAGGTCATGTTATTTCTTTAGTCCCTATGTCAACAAAACCACTATAATTTCGTATGGATGTCTGAAGCAGCATGCCCCAGTCTGCTGCCACTTAATTACCTTCCAGCCTGCCTGAAGACATCTGGCTGTGATCCAGACAACCTCTCCGTTAAAACGTAAGGAGAAAACCATTGGAATAGAGTCGCAAAAGATACCATTTTTGCTTTTGGAAACATAAAATAGAGGAAAAAATATGGTACATCATGCAATATTTGGTATGATTTTAAAATCAAGATATAAGAAATTTGACTTTTGTAGTTTGCAACAAATTACTTCCTCATGACACTTTCCCAACACAAGCATGTTAAATTCTTGTTCACTTATGAATCAAATTCAGTCAAAATTGAATTTACACCCATTTTATTCCAATACAATCCTAACAAGTTGCCAAGTTCAGATCTGAAGTCAAATTCAGTTGATTGGTAAAAAAAAAAAAAAATCTGTTTAAGGAATCCCATCTGAGCATATCAAGTCATCCACCGTGCAGCAATCCCTCATCCAGAGCAAGCGTGTGGTAACAATGGAGAGGAATTGCACAATTTTAACAGGGTGAATCCTACAGTGGAGTTAGGCTAGAACTTTAGAGAATACAGCATCAGTACCTTCCTTTTGAAAAAAGAAAAGAGAACCAGTAAATGGCAGAAATTGCTTCTTAAAAAACACAACTAGATACAGAAGCACTGGGTCAATAATACTTTGTATGAAAAACCAAAAAAGAGCACCCAGTGATTAAGATAGCTTGGTTTTAAAAATGAAATCTAAATACATAATCACAGGGTCAGTTGTACTCTCGGCAGTTAGAGAAACAAAGAAAGTGGATGGTAGCAATTGCTCCATAAACAGATGTAGTCAAAAGTCTGCATGGGGGCAATAGCTA